ATAGTAACAGAATATATATAATAGCTGTATATAGTGCCGCATAAAATGTTTTGGTAGGGTATTTGATCTTCTCTCCGAGGAAAAAATAGTGAGTAAAAAACATGACATGTCATGGTTAAAGTATATCAACTTTCACATCAGCAGTTCATCCCTATAACACACGCACACATATTCATATTTGGATATTTTAAAAAATAATTTGACTAATTAATTAAATTAGTAAATCAATAGCAATAAATTAATAAAAATATTAATTTATTAATTTAAATAATTAGTTAAAATTATTATTTTAAATTACTTTTAAAATATTTAAATATTATCTAATTAATTTCATTTTTTTTTTGTTAGAAAACAAAAAGAAAATGTCATTTAAAACAAATAGAAAATATAGAGTTAACTGGTAACAAAAATTATTAAAACTAATTTATATTAAGTGTTTAATTTCAGAGATTAATTTAATAATTTGTATTATTAATAAGTAAAATCTTCTTTTCTTCAAATTAATTAATTTTAAATATTTTCAATAATATAACAAATTTCTAAATAATATTTTAATTGATTACTACTTTATTAATATTAGTTTTATTATCTTTTAGCATTTTATATAACTAATTTGAAACAATAATATTTAGTTTTTCTATAAAAAGTTACAGAGATTATTTAAGTATTTCAGACATCCCAACATTTTTAATTTGATTACTTTTAATAAAATATTTTAAAAATGAAATAAATTATTAAATAATATTTTACTTAATATTACTTTATTAATTAAATATGTTCGTAATTATAAATTTAAGTACATATTTTCTTTACCCTCGGAGAGGAAATGTTCATCTATTGGAAATTGGTACCCCTATTATCTAAATATTCTCATAATTATATACATAGTACAATAATGCCTATAATTATATATTATATACATTTAGTACAACAGGAATAAATTTGGAAATCAATGTCTATTATAAGTTACCAAAAATACCGTAAATTTAATCTAGTAAAATACATATATTTTTAATATATACATACATATATTTATGTAACGGTTTCGGAAATTAAAAAGAAATGCGTATATATTTATTCTTAATGCGGAAGCGAAATAAAATAGATTATGATTAACATCTCTTACACAATAAGCAAAACGAATTAAAGTATGAAAAAATAAATTAACTTAAAGAAAATACTATGAAAGAATACTGTGAGGAAAACTAATAAATTCTTTTACTTCTACTCGCCGTCTTCCTGCAGAACGGGTTCGGAAACTAAATTCTCCTGATCTGAAATGGTTAATTAAGGAATAAGCTACACTATCCCAGCAAAGACATCATACTATCTCACTGTCATAAAAGTAAAGGTTGATAGAAAACGAAAACGACCAATTGAGCATAATTTATACAAACTCATTTATCAATAATAAAACCCTTTACTGTCCACCTACCTCGGTGATATTCATGAAAATAATTTATGAAAATAATTACATCATAAATATCATAAGATCACGCACACTCTGCAACATAACACATATCATGTTTTTGTATTTCAATCATCAGGCAACAATTATCCCCTTTTATTCAGCCTACTAGTATTCATGGGGATCCATAGGGGGTCTCCGCTACACGTGAACCATTCACATTAATAACTGAATTCTAGGGCCGTCCCCATACCCCGTCCGGTATGAGCCCTAAAACTATAAACCTCAATACTCCGTCCGGTATGAGGGTGAAACGAGCCGTCCCCATACCCCGTTCGGTATGGGCGCCAAAACACATAAGGTCTCCATACCCCGTCCGATATGAGAGACCACGTTCCCGGTAGGGTTCCCTATGGACCCGGTCCGTCTACCATCTCTCAGGATATCTAGTGAGGCTGTAGACATTATCCATTATCAATTCACATATATTTTTACCATTTTTCTTAATCTCAATTATTCAATCAAATACAAAATACGTAAACTAGTAATGGACACCAAACAAGACAACACAACATCGGGTTCACAATAATTCAAAGCATAATAAATGAAACCGTGATTCATGCATATGAAACCATAAAATAAACACATCAGACACCATACTGCATTCAAAACTGTAAAATAAATCAAACAACACCTGACCGAAAATTTATCAGATTCGAGCTCCATTAACAACCTTAATCAATTATACATATCTATTAATTCATAAAATACCGTTTTATCATTTATTAGGCTTTAATGTCGTGATAGAAAATAGGGTGAGAGATTCTTACTTGTTTCGGAGTCTGAAATCGGGTTCCACTGCGTCTACGAGCAGTCCCTAGATTCCCTGAATTTTTTCCCGGGAACTGAAACACACTTCCGGTACCTGTACATGTCCCCAAAAAATTCCAAATCAGACCCTGGATCCTTTCAGCCAATTTTGAAATTCCGGCACGGCGGCGATCCGCCTCGGGTTGGTCGTTTTCGGCTGTTTTCGGCCAAACTTGCCTTTGTTCCTGTGATAAAACACCTCTAGGGCCCTGGGTGGACCAAAAAATTCCAGAAAAACGAGACTTACCGGCGGCGAAGCTGTCGGGTACGGCGGCTCCTCCAGCGCGAGTTGCGATTCAGTGTTTTGCTCCAGTCAACCTGTAGAGAAAATGACAGTAGTCACAGTGGTATAAAAATTACATCGAATGGGAAACGGGAAGGGCCTCATCGGAGGCAAAAACCAAAGAAACCTGCGGCGGCGCCGCTGAACTTCGACAGTGTTTTTCGGCCAATCGGCTGGTGGTTTGGCTCCGATTTGGCCACAAGGAGGTTCGGCATCGAAAAACGAGTCAAGGGGAGAAATTTTACCTCGTTTGGCGACCGAAAAATCCTCCGGTGCGGCTGTGGGTGGCGGCGGCTGGTTCCTCCGGTGGTTGGGTCGTCTTCTCCGGCGAGGGTTCTGGCGGCTAGGGTTTGGGGTTGGGTGTGGATGCGATTATTTATAACCCTCCCCTTTTAATCTGAGCCGTCCATCATGATTTAATTTAGATCGTCCGATCGCGATTAAATTGGAAATAAATATGGGTCGTCCATCGTGATGCGATCTGAGACGTCCGTGCGTGATCAAATCTGGACCGTCTGCACGCGTGAGATCTGGGTCATCCACGCGCGCCTTTGATCTGGGCCATCCGATCGCGCACACGCGGATAGCTAACGTGTCTCCGTCCCACGTGACTTCCTGCGTCAGCGTCCTTGCCACCCGACGTATCCTTGTTGGCCGGGGTTGCTGACCGAACTGTTGCCGTGGCTACTGACGTGATACTATTTTTCTAAATTGTATGTTAACTCCCCAATTTTC